AAAGAGAGAGAGAGAGAGAGAGAGAGAGAGAGAGAGAGAGAGAGAGAGAGAACAAATATCGAATTACGAGTACGCTAATTACGTGAATGGTTCAAAAGGTCTTTGTGCACGTTAGCACGGCATATTGTCAAATCGACAAACACGTTGTCGACGAGATTCTATATCCCACGGATATCGATTGGAGGCGAGTGATCGAGGTTGCCGAGTCCGTCGACGAGTACATCCTGAAAATACTGACAATGAAGTAAGTTACCAGAGCGAAGCCTCGCGTAAATCAGACCCTATTCATCGACACCTTCGAAATTTCGCGAATATTTACAGATACATACGAGCGATGCCAAACACCTACGTCTTCTCGAAAATGTTGGCGGAGCAAGTAATAAGCGATTATTCCGAGTTGTTGCCCTGCGTCATCGTGCGACCAACGGTGATTATATCGATGATGGATGAGGATCCCATAAAAGGTTGGATAGACAACTTCAATGGACCAATAGGTTCGTGGTTGGGAGGTGCCATGGGTATCTTGCATGTATTTTACTGTAATCCCAATACAAGAGGTGACTACATACCAGTAGATTGGGCTATCAAATCATTGATAATAACAGCCTGGAAACGTGGAATTAAAACGTATGTCCGATATTTATGATAAATGAGAAATAAGCGAGTCTATAATATGCGCTTCATAAATTTGACGAGTAGACGGCAGTGATGATTGGAATATTAGAAACTGTATCTTCGGAATTTCTTAGGGCCGCATTAATAGACGCTACTTAAAATTCCTCTCAACTGATAAATATTTAGGCTCGTATTAATAGTCGTTGAACTTGAAATTTTTCTTACGTGAAATACTCAATTCTGAATTTAGAGATAGGTAAGAGTTTTTTTTCAATTATATAATACATGTGACATTACATTTGCAATCGTAAATTAATTGAAAAATGCAGGTCTAACTCTAAATTGAAATCTGAACAAGTCTTACATGAAACAAGTTTCAAGTAACGACTATCAGTACGGACCTTAGTCCTGCGAGCTCGAAACTTGCTAACCGAAATCGTGCAAACGTAATTTTTACATAATATCATGTCAGTTACTTAGCGTAAGCTTTCATAGAATGTATTTTCTGATTCAGCATCTCCGAGGATAAAACGGTTCATGTTTACAACTGCTCGGCGAATAACATTAAACAAATGACTATAGAAGAAATTCAGAAGCTAGGGTTCGAGATTTTCCAAGAATTTCCTCCTGATAGAATGATTTGGTCACCAACTGTTACGTTCACAAATCGTCGTTGGTTATATTACATTTTGATGATGCTGCTGCATTTCCTCCCGTCGATATTCGTAGACGGTGTCCTGAAATTGTCCAGAGCAAAACCAATGTAAGACTGATTTAGAATTTTACAGAATTTTGTGTTTTAAGTGTTAGTGTACTGCAAAATGTGTCGCGTTAATAGACTAGCTATGCAAAGTACATATTTTACATATTTTAACGCGTTTTTGTTTTTATTGTTCTTAAAGATGTTTTGTCGATGTTGAGGAGAGCACGTACAATTTCGAGGTATTTCCGAATAATCCACAATGCGTTTTTCTGGCAATGGCTCTTAAACACTATATATTTTGCGCTAGTCCGAATAGCATATCTAATTTTCTAAAATGAAATCGTGTATATAAGGAGAATGTAGGAGTCTCAGTTATTAAACATTAGAAAAATATTTAGCAGAACACTTGATTTCCAGGTTATTGAAGTTACAAAGGAGAGTGTATGTTACGAATAGTGCATTATCGCACTTTTTACTTAACGAATGGGTTTTTAAAAACTCGAAATTCTTAGATCTATTTGAAATGCTTAGTGCTGAAAATAAAAATTTCAGAATAAACTACAACCTATATGACAACGACATACGGGAATATTGCAAGTAACTATATTTATAACTAGTTACAGATGAAATCATAATCTGTTCTTCTGCATTTGTATTTATCTGATTTATCTGTAACACTTGCTTCTAGGAACGCAGTTATCGGTGTAAAAGTTTACTTACTAAATGATGACATGAATAACCTGGCAGCAGCCAAAAGAAAACGCAATAGGTGAGTTGACCTTATGGAGTAAATAGTTCTTAACTTCCTACTGGTGAAACTTTTCATATGTTATACACGATTTTTCTTCCTTTCGACGAAGTATTGACGCATTAGTAGTATTTCAGATACAAACAACTAAAAGTGTGAAACTTTTATTGTTACGAATTTCGAGTAAAACGGATTATCTGTAAAATGCCCGAAAATCCAACATAATATCGTACAAGCTACATTCATATATACAAACACACACTAGACGTAACATAAAAAGATCACTCACAATGTTATAAGGTCGAAGAAATCGTCAAAATAAACGGAGAAATTGAGAAGAGTTGTCGAACAAAAACGTCTTATGTTGCGAAGTTACGTGTATTGTTTGGTCGATGATAACGTCGTCAGTGGAAAATTAGGTCGTAACGTGGAAGCACACTTGCTACCTGTGAAAATTTTGCGTGAATTGTAACATGGGTCAGGCTATTTTCAGAACCTTGTTAGTTTTAGTTTTACTCATAAAGACCAGATGCTTTTTGTAATATTTCTTTCCATTTGCGCTCTTTTTGCGAGTACAAAATGTATTCTCAGAGATGGCGGGCATCTTCCTAGATAGCCCGCGAATTTCGATATCTTTTCTTTCTTTCAAGTTTCTCTGTTTTGTTTTACAACTTATTATAATTATGAGCGTGTAACAGAACATATTATAGAAATGGTCGTGACGCGAGTGTAACGCATCTACAATCAGTAATTTTTACGTGCTAGATTGACGTCACAAGATCCGACGCAGAATTCCTCTTGCAAGCTTGGTGAGATATTAAAAATAAGAATCCAATAAGGATCTAATATCATCTATCGGGTTTTTTTGTTTCATGCGTACGTTACTGCGTTGCTAAATATAAGATTCTCGCCTGCTTTTTTACATATCTGCTAATAGTCAGTTTTATTATAGTCGTGTACTCTCCCTGCAATTGCGTTTGCATTTTATGCATTTTGCACTTGGGCAACATGACATGTATACATACAGACGGGAATTAGCCGCGAGGCTCCTCGCTCTTATTCTCTATTATTACCAGCGACCGTAAAGGACAACATAATATCAGAAAATGTATCGAGTTCTATCGCTTGTCGCTAAAAATGTCAAGATTTGGGATCAGAGACAAAAAAGGAACCGTAGAATTAGATGTAGATGAAAATAATTTACGAAAAGTTTACGTCGAGAGCTAATCACGCGTAACGACGTAACTTTTTATCACCACATAGGCGAGATCTGTCTATTTACTATATGCATGACACGCTGATTCACTTATTATAAACTTCTTCATTAATTTTCCTTGTATAATGCGTCGAGGATCTACGTCAACTGATCGTAATTATTATAAGTATGATTGATACTCCCTGTTTTATGCGAAGAGCTTATCTTTTCCTTCCCTTCGGATTTCCGAGTTCGACGAATTTGAGTCGGTATTCCTTATAGAAATGCGTAATCAACTTGATACTACGCTAGACATTATGTAATGCGCACCTGTCCTAGAATCCCTTTGGACTTCGCGTACATCGGCAAATTTATTCGAACATTGAAATTAGTAACCCGCGCCTTATAGATTGCTCTGGAAAGATATTCTCACTTTCTCTCTCTCTCTGTCTCTCTCTGTCTCTCTCTTTCTCTCTCTCTCTCTCTCTCTCTCTCTCTCTCTCTTACTCTCTTTCTCTCAAGACAGATTACATAAAGCCCGCTATTGTTTTCGATATAATGGCGAAAACCAGAATGAAATGGAATCTTAGTTGTAATGTTTTGTCAAAGAAGTTGCCAGAGTTGATTCTGTGGAATTTACTGATACAACGATCTTGAACTAATTGTAAAGCAAATTGCAAAGTAATTCTTAATTCTTGAGTGCTAGAATTAGTGTCTTTTTACCGCAATTGTCAGCAATCCTGCTTTTTTCCTTTTTCCATTAAGAAAATGAAAAGTATAATTCCAACGTCAGTCGTGTGTCAATGAATATCGGGACGTTTGATTATTTATTTATTCTCAGAGTTGTAAAATACTAACAGCGACCGATAAGCTAAAGAAGTCTTTTTATTTGCGTGTTATTTTTCGTTTCTATCGTTCGCCTAAAAATACAAAATAAAAATTTCTCGATGCTTGCAAAGTTTCTGGTATATCAAGAGAGATACGAGACAAGACGCTTAATACGACAATATTTTTTTATGTTTCAGGTTGGATTTTCTCCACAATATAATCAAGACTATATTAATAACATTCATCTTATGGATACTTTATAGAAAAAATATCCTATCTAATATCGTAAACGCAATCGCTTATATATTCTATATAAATGTCTGAGGATTACTCCAGAATTATTCACACCTGCTAATAGGCTGCAGCATTTTTTTTAATTAATAATTGAGATATCAGAATCATAAATATTTAATTATTCAAGCGTGATTGATTTTTCGACATCATCACTTATTGGCTATGGTTATAGGTAAAAAGTTAGGAAGAAAATTTTTGCATCACTTACGTTCGATATATCCAATATTTTGCTCATGGTGACTTGGCAAGTAAGAATACATAAGTACTGTAAACTGCAACATGTGAAATAAAACATATCGTATTACAGTAATTGGTAATCACATTTTATTGATGTCGTACCAATTCCGCCTTCTTACCGAAAAATGATCGTTGGCCTAAAATTGCATATGCAGATATTGTTATGGTCTCATGACTCTATATCCGAGCGTGTTAGATCGATAGGCAACCACATTTTATTTAAGGACTCTCGTCAGCAACATGCAAGACAAGCTTCTCGTAGTGTATAATTGTATAATTGTATAATTGTATGTGTATAATTGTACGGGCAATCACACTATGAGACCGGGGCGAGATTTAATATTTAAGATTAGTACGTTTACGTCGAAGAAGATTTCTTTCGAAGGAATGATCTGGGCCCCCAGCGTAATAATGATATGGAATTAATTTTTGTATCACCTGTTGGTGATAGTGTTGATCGTAATAACATTCTGATTTATAAATGGATTGCTATCATTTTCAGGCCAACAACCGAGGTGCAAACTAAACTTCTTTCGTTTTTTGGTATATTGATCTTACATGCATGAGTGAGAATGTATTCGTTAATTACGCAGCATATGAAGTCTTTTAGATATTCAGGAAGGTCATGAGACCGGAACAAGACCGAAGTTCACGTTTGACGTGCGCTTTATTTACACATTTACTAGGTGGCAGAGTTTGGAAAATGAATCGTGTGAAATATTTTTTTTTAAATATATACTTAAAGTACCTTATTTTAAGTAAAACATTTTACAATTTTTTTACTACGATTTTAAATGTCAAACACATATAAATAAAGGAGATTGGGACCAAGTCGGTCCAAGGTTTATGTTATAATTATGCCAATTTTATTTGACCTTACCTATACCTATATTTTCACACTGCTGAAATTGCAGAGGAAGATTTTTATAAACATACCTACGCTAATTTATAAATCGTACCTAAGCTTATTTTACAATGAAAAACTAGGAGTTCCGAAATGAAAAAATGTCAAGTTTGTCAAATGAGTTACCGACTGTCGATCAACGAGACTTTGGATACGCCAGACTTGGTTTACTACAAGTAAGTGAGAAACTTACAATGCTATCCTTTTAATTGACAAGTGAAGTAGATGTTATCTTGCGAACAAATGAAGTTACCTTTCTCATCTTTTATAAAGATGGATAATTACTGCGTAATTGGCAGCAAGATCTATCTTCTCAACGAATGGATCGACTGGATGCAGCGAAATCGCACTACTTGTAAGATTACGAAAAATATATATTTTTTTTACAAAATGTTCTGAACACTCCAAGTATTCTCTTTATCGATATTTTCTCTACGAGTCAATTCTCTGATAACGATAGAATGACATTCTTTAAAAATAGAGTATAAAGGAACAGCATTTTTCCATGAAAAATTTATTTTGACGCAAATGGAGCGCAAACACATTTTGGATATTAACCCATTACAGTCCATGGGCAGGCCAGCAGAGTTATGGTAAAACTAATTATTGGGATTAATGCATTTGGTCAAAATATGATTATCTATGACTAAAAATCAATTTTTCAATTGTTTAAACAATATTTTGTTTTGTCAATCGCGCTTATTCCGATAACGTTTCGGCGCAAATACGTTCGTATATGTGTTGTTGTTGAACGTGTAAGAGATATGGAAATAAACGTATCAATATGGAAGAGTTTATGTCCTTTGAACCTTACCTTGCCTTATTGAATTAAGTGACCCATTGTGTTCGACGTTTGAATTCGATCACACCTTCGTTCGTCGTGAGAAACGTAGGATCGTGACGCACCGATTTCTCGATTTCTTTCTTGTCGCATCGATTATCGTGTAAAATAATATCATTGTTTTATCACAAACCGGCCGTTCTTAACAATTAAAATCCTCTAGTGAACAACATTACATCGTTGTCTTCTATTCTACGTTTTCATCCGTAAGGGATTACTTCTTCTTGTACTCATTTATCATCGCTGTTTACTCAAATATGGGGATGGATACTGCGGAATCGTCTATACCGGGCTTCTTCGCCGGCCGAAGCATATTTATAACAGGTGTAACAGGCTTTATTGGTAAGGTATGTAAGGCATTTTTATGTTTGTCGCGGTTGAGAGAGTGAATATGGGACACAAGTGTAGAAGGAACGGAGGAGAGAGGTGTGTCAGTTAAGAAATGTCATCCTGTTAACAATCCCTTATGCTCATTTGGAAGTTGCTTTACAGGTGTTAATCGAAAAACTACTAAGATCCTGCCCTGATATCAAGGAGATATTTCTGCTAATGCGACCAAAGAAAGGAATAGGAATTGATGATAGACTGAAGAATTTATTAACTAATAAGGTAATAAAGTACTGAACAAATCGTGCGTGTTAAAATCGTGCGTTACGTATTTGTGACGCAACGATCTCTCACTAAAGACTACCGTTACGTATGTACGGCGTACAAGCAACGATTTTTGTGTCCACATTATCAAACTAAGTTCATCTTACACAATTAGGTAAAAGAAAAAAAATTGAGATAATCTATGGAGAGATTTTTTTAAATCGTGGTAAAGAATGTGTTAAAGAAAATCGAGTAGTCCTATGCCTGCATATGTGTTAGTCTGATAGATCTGTTTCGATTTCTCAAACTATTCAATTTCTTAAATTTTCTCTTTTCTTCTAAACTTCGAAACTTAAAGTAGCAACGAAGAAGGTTACGACAAACAATGAGAAATATCAGCTTTTGTTCTGCTTTGTAACTGTTGTAAAATTTATGAATCAAATTGATCTAGATATGCTCTTAAGTTATCCAACATTACGAGTCAATAAGATTCACGAATTTTACAACAGTTACAAAACAAGTTTTTCGTTGAATGCAACCATTGCTTATTTATAATAGTCAGTTTCTATTATAGCTATTTGATAAATTACGAAACGAGCGACCATCCTGTTTTGAAAAACTTGTTCCTGTGGCGGGAGATATAGGTACTGAGGACTTAGGATTATTGCCTGTGGATCGACAAATGTTAATTGACAGAGTGTCAGTTATATTCCACAGTGCGGCGAGCGTGAGATTCGACGACTCTTTGAAGGATGCGATTTTTTTCAACATCCGATCAACACGGGACTTGTGTATCTTGGCTAGCAGCATGAAAAATTTAGTGGTAGGTCTTCTCTTGTCAAAATTGAATTTATCGCAGCATTATATCACGAGAATAGTCATGCATATCGAAAAATTGCTTAACGATATGTCAAAAATGAAAATTTTCTTGCGTCAAGCAGACACAAACTGTAGATTTTACCGGCATAATTAAATAATTAATCTTGGTAAGTCTCCTGGTATTTCATTCAAATGAACAATTGTGACAATCTATATTATATATATATATCATTGCACGTACGAGAAATTTTCATTGACAGACTGCAAACTTTACTACCGATTACGACTTTATCCGGGTCGATATCGAAACATGAAACGAGAAAATGAGAGAGAAAGAGAGAGAAAGAAAGAGAGAAAGAGAGAGGGAGAGAGTAGGTAAATATGGAGTCACGAGTACGCTAATTACATGAATGATTTAAAAGGTCTTTGTGCACGTTAGTACGACATATTGTCAAATTGACAAATACGTTGTCGACGACATTCTGTATCCCACGGATATCGATTGGAGGCGGACGATTGAGATTGCCGAGTCCGTCGACGAGTACATCCTGAAAATACTGACAATGAAGTAAGTTACCAGAGCAAAACTTTATGTAAATTATGCCCCATGCATCGTTATCTTTGAAATACATTCGCGACTATTTGCAGATATATGTGTGCGATGCCAAACACCTACGTCTTCACGAAAATGCTGGCGGAGCAAGTGATAAACGATTATTCCGAATCGTTTCCCTGCGTCATCTTGCGACCATCGATAGTTATATCGATGTTGGATGAGGACCCCATAAAAGGTTGGATAGACAACTTCAACGGACCCATTGGAACATTGGTCGGAGGTAGCAAGGGTATCTTGCGTGTATTATACGCTGATCCTAATATAATCAGTGACTACGTACCGGTAGATTGGGCCATCAAGATATTGATAATAACAGCCTGGAAACGTGGAACTAAAACGTATGTCCGATAAATGAGAAATTAGCGAGTCTATAGTTTGCGCTTCATAAGCTTGACGAGTAGACGGAAGTGATGATCGGAATATTAGAAACTGTATCTTCTCAATTTCATTAGAGCAGTATTAATAGTTTTTACTTGAAACTTACTCCTCTGAACTGATAAATACTCAGGATCGTATTAATAGTAATTAATAGTCGTTTAACTTGAAATTTGAATGTTGTGTTAACATGAAATATTTAAATCTGAATTTAGAGTTAGGTGAGAGTTTTTAATTTGAATAATGTAATGTATGTGACATTACATTTGCAATTACAATTCAACTAAGAAACTTAGATCTAAATCTAAATTATCATTTAAGTGTTTTACCTGAAACAAGTTTCAAATAACAACTATCAATACGAATTTTAGTCCCGCTAGCTTGAAACTTGCTAATAGGAATCGTGCAAATGTAATATTTACACGACATTGCGACAGTTACTTAGTACAAGCTTTCATACAGTGTATTTTCTGACTCAGCATCTCCGAGGATAAAACGGTTCATGTTTACAACTTCTCGGCGAACAAGATTAAAAAGTTAAGTGTAAACCAAATCCAGGAAATGGGGTACGAGCTTTTGCGAGAAATTCCTTTTGACACAACGATTTGGTCACCAAGTACTATGTTAACAAATCGTCGATGGTTATATTATATTTTAATGTTGCTGCTGCATATCCTCCCATCAATATTCATAGACGGTGTCCTGATATTGTGCGGAGCAAAACCAAAGTAAGACTGATTTAGAAATCTACAGAATTTTGTGTCTTCAATGTTAGTGTAGTGCAAGATGTGTCGCGTTAGTAAATTAGCTATGTGAAGTAAATATTTTACATATTTTAACACGTTTTTGTTTTATTGTTTTTAAAAGTGTTTTGTCAATGTTGAGGAGAGCATATAAGCTCGAGACATTTCCGAATAACACGAGTAACATACAATGCATTTTTCTGGCAATATCTCTTAAACACTATATATTTTGCGCTAGTCCGAATTGCACATCTGATTTTCTGAAATGAAATCATGTATATAACGCAATGTAGGACTCTCAGATGTTAAACATTAAAGAGATATTCAACAGAACAACCGATTTTCAGGTTATTGAACTTACAAAGGAAAGTGTACATAACGAATAATGCCTTGTCGCATTTTACTTTGAACGAATGGAATTTTAACAACGCCAAAGTCTTGGATCTAATTAATTCGCTTAGCGTTGAAAATAAGGATTTCAGAATAAACTACGTTGACGTCAATATACGGGAATACTTCAAGTAAGTACATTTATAACTATTCACAAATGAAATCATAATCTATTCTTCTGCATTGTTGTCTGTCTGATTTATCTGTAATACCTGCTTCCAGGAATGGAATCATTGGTGCAAAAATTTACTTACTAAATGAAGACATGAATAACCTGGAAGTGGCCAAAAGAAATCGCAAGAGGTGAGTTGATTTTATGGAATAAATAGTTGCTTCCTGCTGGTGACACTTTTTATATGTTACGCGCAATTTTGATTTCTTTCGACAAAGTGTCGACGCATTAGTAGCATTTTAGGTGTAAACAATTAAAAATGTAAAACTTTTATCGTAGCAAATTTCGAGTAAAACAGATTATCGGTACTGTCTGAAAATTCAACGTAACATCATACACGGCACACACACGTACACCAACACACACTGAACGTAACATGAAAAGATCATTCACAATGTTATAAAAGGAGGAAATCGAAGAAATCGCCAAAACAAACGGAGGAATTGAGGCGAGTTGTCGAACGAAAACGTCTTATGTTGCGAAGTTACGCGCACTGTTTGGTCGATAGTGACGTCGTTAGTGGAAAATTAGATCGTAACGTGGAAGCACACTGGCAAGTGGTGAAAATTTTGCGTGAAATGTAACATGGGCCAAGCTATTTTCAGAGCCTTGTTAATTTTAGTTTTACACAGAAGAACCAGATGTTTCTTGTGATTTTTCTTTCCATTTTCTTTCTCACTTTGTGAATACAAAAAGTATTCTTAGAGATAGCGGACTTCTTTCTTGAATTTCGATATCTTCCATTTTTTTTGTTTTTATTTTTTCTCTCCGTTTTATTTTACAACTTATTACAACTGTGGATATATAACAGAATATGTTATGCAAACGATCGTGACGCGTACCTACAATCGCTAATTCTTACGTGCACGATTGACGTCACAAGATCTGACGCAGGATTCTTCTTAGTGATATATTAAAAATCAAGACTCGATAAAGATCTAATATTATCCGTTGGGTCTTCTTGTTTCACGTGTACGTTATTACGTTGCTAAATATAAGATTCTCGCCTGCTTTTTTACATATCTGCTCATAATAAGTTTTATTATAGTCGCGTACTCTCCCTGCGATTGCGTGTTTGCATTTTATGCATTTTACACTTACGCAACCTGACATTTACATACAGACATTTACATACATACAGACGGGAATTAGCAACGAGGCTCTTATTCTCCATTATTACGAGGGACCGTAAATGACAATATAATATCAGAAAATGTGTCGACTTCTATCGCGTGTCGTTAAAAGAAATCAAGATCTGGGGTTAGAGTTCAAAAATGGAACCCAAGAACTTTTTATAGATGAAAATAACTTCCGAAAAGTTCAGGTCGAGAGCTAATTACGTAACGACACAACACGGCACTCCTTATCACTACTTAGGCGAGATCTGTCTATTTACTATGCATGACGTTGGTTCACTTATTATTAACTTCTTCATTAATTTTCCTTGTAAAATACGCCGAGGATCTACGTCATCTGGCCGTATTGCAATCATGATCGATGCTCCCTGTCTCGTGCAAAGCGCTTATTTTTTCCTCCCCTTTGGATTTCCGAGTTCGACAGATTCAAATCGATATTCCTCATGGAAATACATAATCAACTTAATACTATGCTAGACATTTATTATATAATATGCGGCTGTTATCTTTGAATTTCCTGGAACTTCGCACATCGTGAAATTTATTCGGACTTTATTGAAATTAGTAACCCGCGTCTGATAGATTGCTCTGGAAAGATATTCTCACTTTCTCTCTCTCTCTCTCTCTCTCTCTCTCTCTCTCTCTCTCTCTCTCTCTCTCTCTCTC